AGAACTGTGGAGTTTTCTCTCTCTCTCTCTCTCTCTGTCTGATGGGTGCAAGAAAATCATGATTTTGGTGAGAGGTGGAACTGGGTTTAGAAATGGATTTAATTAAGCAAAGATTAAATTTATGTGGGTTTCTTTCAGTGTTTTTTTAAGGTTTTAGGATGATATTTATAATTTTGGATTGGGATTTGGGATTTGGGATCTGGTATTTAATGAGTGAACATTTTAGATAGTCAATTTCTTCTAAGATTTGTGTTAAAATTATTTGCTTGGTTCCTGTATTTTCAAGGTTTTAATTAGCTTCGACTGTTTACATGTACAGGACCCAATCTGAATGGCTTGTTTGGAAAGCAGTCAGGAACAACTGCTGGATACTCTTACTCTGCTGCTAACAAGAACAGGGCCGTCACGTGGGAGGAGAAGACTTTGTATGATTACTTGCTCAACCCCAAGAAGGTATTAATCAACTCTAAAGCATAGTATGACTTAGCATGTTTGCCAGTGCGTCTCTAACGGGTTAAGTACGGTTTATACATTGAAGTTTTGTGATAATTCTGTGATGATACCTGAACTTAGTTGTTTTCTATCAAGTTATGACATTGTTACTCAGCATTTGGTAACTCAAGGTCTTGAAGAGAAACATGCTGGACAATATGCTAGGTCTAATGAGGAAGGCTGGGTTAAAAATTGAAGGACTTGCAAACAGAGAACATGGAGCGTGTAGATTATAATGTTTAGGCTTTGCTGTGAGATCAAGGTTGAATAATCAAGTAAAGTGACCCCATCATTGATGATATTTATCCTATGGTGTATGAAATGAACTTTCACATTTCATTTCAATGTGATAAGATAGCCTAGCATTTATAGCTGGTTGAATCATCTGATTATCTTACATACAGATGAAGAACTCGTGTCTTGACACTGGCGTCTGTGCCTCTTATACCATGTTTATTTTTGTTAGTTTGCGATGCTGACCCGTAGTGAAAACTGTTTACGCAGTACATCCCTGGAACAAAGAAGGATTTCCATGGATTGAAGAAGCCACAGGAGCGTGCTGATGTCATTGCATACTTGAAGCAGTCCACTGCATCTTAAGCATTTCACACTTCTGGGCTCCCCATTTTGCAGTTGCTGGAGATTTTCTTTTTTTACCAATAAATAACCATCCTATACAATGAGCATTGCATCAATGCTCCTTCGAAGAGTTGCCATAATTGGCAAACTTAACATTAGACCCATTTAGCTTACTGTGCCTCTATTTTGTGAATAGTTCGTGGATTACCAATGAACAGTTTGTTAATGATAGTTTTTGGTTTTGATGATATTGTATATGAACATTTCCATGGTTGCTATCGCTTGCCTTCAATATACCCTGATGCATAGCAGGTCTACGGTAATGTACTTTTGAATGAAATGCAAAATGGTGTATTGGCATCTCTAGCAGGCAAACATTGGAATGCTTTCATTTTCTAGTGTTGGATAAATGCAACTGAATAAATCACTCCCCCTTCTACCCATCTCCAATGGTTTGGCCTATTGCTCGGTCGCCATTTACATAGGTTGGGAGCTCCACTCATGCTGTTGTGGGTGATTGGTATGAATCCGATACTGTTTTTTACTGCTCTGGGTAACCTTAGATCTTCTGTTGTGCTTTTAAATTCATACTTCGATCATCCATGTTTGGTTTCATGACACGTTTTCAGATCAGATCGGTCTACAAGCCTTCTTCTCATGTCGGCCAGTAATTCTGATGTTAATTACTTATTTTATCCCCATATATGCCCCCTCTGAGATCGATTTGCTATGTTCTGTATCCTTCACTCTTTTTCCTTCTTTCTGGTTAATGATGGATAATTGTTTAACATCACCAGTGGCCAAAAAATCTAAAAACATGGAGTATATAAGGAAAATGTGATATAAAAAAACTAAATTTGAGAAACCTTAACCTCAAAAGCACCACCGCCGTGTCTCGCGAGCCCAAACAGCCACCCTCTTCCCTCTCCATCTTGCGCTCGCCGCACAGCCGCCCTTTCGAAATTGTTCAATAACCAAAACATTAACGAATGAGATGGAGTGGAATGGAGGCGACTCGTCGATGAGTATGGGTAAGTTATGGAGTGAGTCAGATGAGTGGATAGAGCGAGTTAGATACTAGCATCATCAAAATTTGGATGTTTTCCAGGAGTGCTAATGGAGAGTAAGCTCACAGACGAACAAAAATGGCAGAAAAATAGTTAAATCAGAGAGAGAGTAAGAGAGGGAGATTTCCTGAATTTCAAGCTCATCATTAAGTCATCATTTCATAATATTCTCATGCCCAGACAAATTCAGTTACATGTAATTTAGCCATGATATTCCTTCCAGACTCTAGCTGATAACTACAGGAAGTTAATGTTCGAAGGCAAATAAAGAACTGAAAGGAACAGATAAAACGCTACCTATGACAAACAAGCAAGTTGCGTAGTGACTAAATAAAACGGTGCGCATTACAACAGTAGACTTATTTTTTAGAGGTAATCACTTCAATTGTTATAGCTTCATTTATTCGGCATATATTTTGAAATTCTACAAAAATTATAGTTTAAAGTATTTTTTATTTAAAAATATATTAAATTAATAATTTTTTTTAAAAAATATTTTTAACATCAAAATATCAAAAATCTAAACATATATAAAAAATTTAAATTTGAAAAAAACATGAATTCAATCCCGTTTTTAAACATTGCCATTATCTTTTTCATTTAGATCTCTTACAATTCCCTCTTCTTCAAATCCACCTTATTCTCTGGGAAAAACATGGGGAACCTCAAATTGAATTCTTCAGTAAGCCTTCAAGTTGCATCTACCGGAGACGAACTCTTCTAGTAAATCAATACTTGGGTTTCTACTTGATTTCTTCATTTAACCATTCTACAATCCATGAACCAATGAGTAGGTGGATGGGATCCATAAAGATCTTTCATTTAAACCACTAAGTAGAATCATTCTACAATCCATAAACCATGAATAGGTGGATTGAATCTATAAAGAACTTTCTAAACTAATGAATAGAGCTATCATTAGTCATGCATCACAAATAGGTTTTCTCGCCTTTGTTCACCATCTTTGTCCAACCATCAAATTGAGACTCATAAATTGTTGAGTAATATAGGTTAAGTCTTTGATGTTTAAACAATTGCTTACAAAACTAGTTAACAAATATTAGTTTCATATCACTTACAATAACAACTAAGAAGCCATGTAATTTATAAACATTATCTATAAAGGCCTTAGCTACTAAATAAGCACTATAAAGATGAATTAAATCCATAAAATAAGAATACTTACTTACTGAATCTATCCATCACGACTAAAATTATCTTTCTTTCCATCTAACTTGGACAATCTTTCAATGAAATCCATACATGATACGAACTAAGTTAGGTTTAAATTTGGTTTTGGTTTATTTGAAAGTATGGTTATGGTTGCTTTTTAAAATGTTTTTCACTTATAATTGTATTAAAATAATATTTTTTATTTTTAAAAAATTATTTTTGATATCAGCACATCAAAATGATCTATATATATAAATATTAATTTGAAGTAAAGAAAAAAAATAAAAATTTCTCAATTTTTTTTCAAAAACGCTTTTGAAATGTAAAAACAAACAGGGAAAGAAGTCAAATCGTATTTCGAATCAAACTGAAATTTTATAGGGAGATATTAGACATAAGTAACTATATTAAATTTTCAGGTCAATTGAAATTCAAAACATATTATTTTAGATTATCAAAGTTACTGGATAAATCTTGTTGAATTTTCTAACTAGACTTCCATATATTGTTTGAGATATATCTGAAGCTACATGTAGAATTTTACTATTTTTCAAGATGAGTTAGAAACTAGACATTTCATACTTTCCAACCATACATGACAAGTCTCGTAATTCTTTTAAATGAGAGAGAATAACGTATTTAAAATTAAAAATAAAGTCCGCCAAGAATGTGAGAAAGTGAAAAAAAAAGTAACATATAGTTTGGTCTTCTTTATTTTTTGGTTTGAAAACATTAACATAACTTCGTCTCTCCCTATTACATATGGTTTTTTTCCAACAGTGTTGTTTTTGTAACATGTATTAATTAGGGGTTTTGCCTTTTCCAGGTGAATTTTGATCCCTATTTTCTTGTAATTTCACATTCAAACCCTTAATTAGTCTCAATCTTTAAGATTCCTTTCAATTGTGCCCTTAGACCTCTTCGATTGAGCCCTCAAACTTTGGTGTCTTTTATAGGTATTTGGTTTTGATATTCTTCAATTTTATTCTTAATTGGCCTTTTAAATTTTAAATTCTTTTAATTTCACCCATGATTAAATTAATTAACCTCTCATAACTTCAATGAATAAATCTTGTAATCTTGATCATAATTGACTTTTAAACTTTAATTTTTTGTTGTATTAAATCAATCCAAAGCTCATCCTTAGTTGTATTAATTAAGTCAATTCAATTTTTTGTTGTATTAAATCAATCCAAAGCTCATCCTTAGTTGTATTAATTAAGTCAATTCAAAGCTCAATTAAATCTCTAGACTTATTGAAACTTTTGATTTTGACTAAAATGACTTCAAAACCTTTTTTTCCATTTCAGCCCCTAGTTAAGCCAATCAAGCCCTTCCAAAGTTCAATTATATTCTTAACTTTTTCATTTTTTGTGATTTTTCCATCACCTTAGACTTCCTTCTTAATTAAGCTCTCATCTATCAAAATTAAACGCCTAACTTTGCAACTCTACAACTTTATTCATGTCTGTCCTCAAACTTTGCGGTTTTTTTGACTAATTTCAATATATTTTTAAAAATTTCTTTAGCAATATCCCAAATTATTCATCCACCTAACATTCTAACCTACTATAAATAAAATGTCTTTCTAATTGAGATCCAAAATATTATTATTATTATTATTATCTATTTTTTTAAGAAAAAAATGAAATATTTTTCTTAAAAGAAGAACATTTTCTACATGAAAAATAATTTTTTTTTGAGAAACCAAAATTAGGTTATGACATAAAAATGTATGAGTTCAAAAAATTGAAAATAAAAAACGGATAAAGAAAGGAGCACATCATGCACATACAGCAACTTCAGCAAGATGAATACGCCTTTTCTCAGCAAACATCTCCCGAAATTGCTCAAATCTGCCTTCCTTTATTGCTTCTCTTATTGACCGGAAGAACCCCAGATAGTGGTGTGTATTATGTCTGCAATGAAAGGGATAAACCGTCAACATCATCATCGTCAATGTCAGCGTCAGTGTCCTAATAGAGGTAAGCAATGATGCTGTACATTTCTAGAAGAATCTGGGCCAACATTTCATGAACATTGAGTAAATGATTGATGTAAGCTTTAGTATGATTCTGACAAGTATAGCAGCTGCAGCTTTCAACAATTGGCGTCGCATCTTTCCTGAAAGGAGACCGACCATGTAAACAACCACCAAGAAGAATGCACTCTCGTTGAAATAGGAAATACTTTCCCTCAAATAATAAAATGGCTGCATTCTTCTTTTCTTTGCATTTAAAGAAAATTAATGCGTGGTTGTCCCTTGCACTAATTTGATAAAATAGAAATAAAATTTATACAGTAGAAGATTTTTCTGCATGCACTCCTAAAGTTTCAACCTTTTGAGTCACGGCTAGATGGGCCATTTCAGAAAAGAGCATTGTTTATTTGGATGCATTTTCTGCATTGGTTCCGTATTAGAGAAAGAAGTTTAAGAAAAGGAAGCTCTACTTTTCAAATTCATGACTAAAAGGTCACAATCTGATCTCAGTTCTGTCATGAATCGCAGAATTTGTGAACCTGTTCGTCATTTGAAATTTATTTTGTAGAAAGGAAACCACTACAATGAAGGTTCATTTTACCTTCAAAGGTACAGCATTAACAGACACTATATTTGAAATCTCAATGATAACCCACCTGAGAAACATAATGCTTTTATATTTCAGTAAAAACATTTGACTGAAAATGGAATCCATAACATCTACTACTCTCCAATTCATAATATGTTCAACAAGGATGAGATGTTGATGGAGCTTAAAACCTTCAATTCAACATATGAGATCATTAAAAATATCCAGATAGCTAGAGATATACAAAGAGTAAGTCCCTTACCTGTAAACAGTTGCTTTCAGATTAATCTTTGTCTGGTCACTTCCCATACCAGTCAACTTCAAATCAGAAGCGTATGTTTTGTTATCCAGTGGAAAGGTAAGTGCAAAGCCTCCAATAGTTAGATGATAAATATAACTGCAAAGGTTGCCCAAAAAAAAAAAATATTTTTGGAGACAGATCACAATGAGGAGAAAGAAGCTTCCAAGGTTAAATTGAGAACAGAGGTGCATACGATGAGTCAAAAAGATCAATGCCAGCAGCAACACCCTGCAACACCTCCTCTAACAAGCATTGGAAAACAGAATTCACTTGTTATTCCACAAACCACTCCCATAATCCATATTTATATCCATATCCATAACTACATACAAAAGCATGAACTTTGTCGAAACATTTAATCTGAAAACAGTACCTCTATCATTTATATATTTAAAGCCTAATTTGGTCGTTGTGTTACTTCAAAACAATAAAAGAAAATCCTACAACACATTAAACTATCTTCTCATCAATTATTCTCATTGCCAAAAAACCATGAGAATGAATATTTTCCGTGGATTAAATAGTGGACTTGTTTTGTTAGAATGTATTTGGTCCCCGAGGCTTAAAATATCTGGAAAGAGTTCAACAAAGTATATGAAACCTATTAACTCTTTTAACACCACCATCCTCCCTCCTTATGTGCTACACCATGATAGCATGTGGAGCCCAAAGCATAACTTGGCCCAAAGCAAATGCTGATAGCAAATTTCAATTGAAAAAACTTGAACCAGGGACCTTTTGAAGAGCGAGCACGTATACAAAAATCCATACCCCACTGGAATCAAATGCTTAAATTATCAGGGAAGTGCCAACAATTTTTAACCACCAGATATTCAAATATAGCAACAACTCATGAGAAACTCTCTATAAAAAAGATGAAAGTATATCCGAGGCAACAAATTGAACAAACAAAATCAAAGAATTATTAAACAGTCCACAAGATACCTGGTAGTCCTAGTCCACTGATCAGACGTGGCCCATCCTTTGGTAAACTATCCTGATCATGTCATAGAAGCATTAAAACTCAGACATTTTTTTAAACCCTGTAAATAATTCATCTTCTGTACAATCCCGATGAGATTCACAGGACCATTTATGCAGTGTTCAAGTCATGTTTTCATACAACAGCTCCAAGGCCTAGATAGTGCTGTCAAGTAATATTTCCTTACCATAAGAAAGTTTATTTTAAACAACCATTTAACAAAATGCAATCAGTTTAACTTCCAGATTCAGAGAAAATAAAAGATAGCACTGATAAACAAACACAGAAATCTCAAAACTTGGAATAGGCCTTGTCCTGCAAAGCCAACTGACAAGTCAAATTCATTGATCTAAGTTCATGATTTGTCGTTATTTCACACTTAATGGCATCTATAATCAAGGGGAAAAGTGAATCTTCCTAACTTGAAGAGTTTAAGCATCTCACAGTTACAGCACTAAGCAAAGCAGGGCGCTCATCAGTGCTCTCTCCAAATCCAAATCCTCCAATCCAATAACCTGCAAAATGCATGTCATGATCAATTTGAGAAGAAGATTTAAACAAAGCAATTCTACATACCAAGATAAGAATCTTTTTATAAATACATATAACTAAACAAGCAAAAATCCTAGCAAATGGGGAACATATGAGAGAGCAAATAAAGGAAGTGGAAAGGCAGAAAGCCATCTAGTATGCAGTCATTCCATGAATAAAAGAGCAGCTCATACAAAGATAATTTAATGCATTCAAACTTCAGACTATATGTAGAGCCCTACTCGATGCAAAGCATAATTCTCTGACCTAATGGCATGGAATCCATTACCCAATGAAATCTAATGTCGTTTTCTTTTATTGAGAAAAATTATGGTATCAAATTTCAAAGAGGCAAGAAGATGATAAAATTGAAGGGGAAATATATCCCACCTTTAGAAGAGCTAAGAGAACTTTTTCCGCTATTTTATCATAGTCATTGGTCAGAAGAAATTGGCATTGCATTGAAATCATAGGGAAAAAAGATATAAAAGGTGACCAAGGCAGAAGAGCATAGTTGCATAGATTTACCCCCCCTGCTCCTTGTCTATATTCGGATTTTGATATGGAAAAAAGCATCAATGACCTAAATATCACGAATGATATGTAACTTAAATCAAACAGAAAAGAAAGACAATACCTGATACATTGCGCTTCACTACTTCTTGTGCACATCGCCTCCGTTCTTCGACATCAGACCCTCCAACAATGGCTCCAAAAGCAACTCCACCTGTCTGAATTTAATAATTGATACATGATATGAATACTTCTTCTTTCCATTTCTAGGAATGAAAGAATAAGTTACACAAGTTATGCCATGATGAAAATTAATTATATACTTGATACTTTAGTTACGGGCTACTTCAAGCTGAAGGGGTATCCCACAAAATAATAATAATAATAATCATCATCATCATAATCATCAAAGAGGGGTAGATGAGATTAAATAATTGTTCCTTGATAATCAGTTTTGGCCTACATATAGCTAATGTTGCATCCACAATCAATATCTTATCAAAGACATGCATCAATATTATTTTGCCCCATCTCTATTATGTAGTCTCATTGTAGAAATCAACAAATTCAGTTATTTAGTTTTATTTTCTTCTAGTTGCTTTCCATTTCTTATGGGCATTTTGGATGCCATTCAAGTACTCTAAATAGATATATGGACCTTGGACATGACTTTACTACCTTGTAAAAATAGTTTATTTGAAAATCATTTAAGACATCTTCAAGAGAGAGCAAGAAAAATGAATAACCGGATACTGAAACTTCACAAAAGCTTTTACATGTGTTGTGCAAATCTATAGTGTAAAATTGAATACTAATTACCTAAACTATCCCAAAAGCTTAACATAACAAGGATATTGATATTAAAGCATCTATTCCCCATAAGCATCAAAAGCACATTCCATAAGTTTAAAGATTTGAATATTACAGATGATACAACTGAACTAAAAGGCACCGCAATAATCCATCAAATTCAAGAATTGAATTGTTCATGTACTGTGTCTCCTACAAAAATCTAGTTTCAATACAAGACTATCATATTTCCCTAGAGCATTGAAAGTGCATTCAATAAGTTTAAAGATTTGAAGTTTAAATCTAACACAACTGAACTAAATGACACCTCAATAATCCATCATATTTCATGTGTTGAATTTTCCATGCACTGCATATGCTACAAAATCTAGTTTTATTCCAAGACTACAAAGCACCATGACTAACCAAACAAATCAAACATCGGGATGGTTTGGCACATTAAAAGATGGATTTCAGATAATTATACTAAATTAACTTGAAAAAAAGAAATAATTTTTACCGGGCTTAGTGCAACACATTCATCAAGCCACTTTACAGTTCGATCAACTGAATTCTTGTTCCTCTTCTTTGATACCCATGCAGGTACTTCATCAGCCAAAGTGGCCCAAAGATTTGGCCTCAAAGAAGAAATTATTCCCATGTATTCTGCAGGTTTAATCTGCCATCAAATTATCAGTTTGGAAATATTCAAAAAGTAATCCAGCAAAAGGACTTGAAAAATCAGCCAACAGAATTTGACGTTAAATGATTTGAGCAAGCTAGATTACCAAAAGGCGACCACAAGGAGTTTCAAAAGATGCACCAAGTTTATTTGTGGCACTACTTTCTGGAAGGCATTGAATGGAATCCCTTGCTACAGCAGCAAGTCCAAAATCATGCAATCCAAGCATTTTATGGAGTCCTCCAATTGAGGATATTGTTTTTGATGAAATTCCCTCCATGCTGCAGGAAATAAAAAATGTCACATCGACCAGTCAAGTAAATAAAGCACAAAATTTCTTACCATAGAGATTTCAAAGTTACACTGTCAAATTTTCCTCATTTTCTTGTACTTGAAAGAGAAAAGGAATAGAAAATGGGGAGCGACACAAGAAAAAAAAGATTAAAAATCACTGGGGAAAAAGCGGAGATAATCCACAACAAATCAGTCATTGTGCTTGAACAAAAACTTAGGCCCCGTAAACTCATCGGCAAAAAGACCAAGCCCCATGAAAGCATCTTACTGTCCCTTTAAGATGCTACAAAAATATCCCACAGTTTCTACATTTTTATGAGCAGAAAAACATTAAACAAACTAACTCTCATGTTCTTGATGACTCCTCAATCCTGCTACAGAAAAGGACCACTTCATTACTCTTATCTCACGTAGATAAATGAAATCCATGCCATCACTTGACTATCACAAATTATGCACAATGCATACCAAATTCTCAACATCTTTGTATTATATTTCACTTCGCAGATAAAAGTTTTATTCATAAATGTGGGTCTTTAGTAGTTGTCCATATACACTACCTTGCATGAAAACTTGCTACGGTTTCTACAATCTTACAGTCAAAACAACAAACATTTCCCATGCATTTCAATCCCAAAAGCCAAAACCTTACTTGTCGACGGTTACCTGAGCAAGCTATGGAAAAACAATTGAAAAACAAAAAAGCAAGGTTTTGCTTACAGAAAACTTACAAGTGAAGAGGGCTCACATGAAGGAGAGAAGAATCAGGGATAGGAAGAGAAGGGAGGAGGTCAGGCGAAATAAAATGGGGTAACCCTTTACGTGTAGAAAGGAGGAGAGCAGGTGTTTCTATTTGAGGACAGTTGCCCAGCTGAAATACACCAGTCCTTGCAGCGGAATTGCCCTTGCTCGTGCTCCATGCTTTCACTGAGAACTTCATGCTCTCTTCCTCCCTCTCTTTTGCTTCTTTGCCGCCGGCTTCGTCTTTCGACAACAGGGCAAGCTCTGTTTTCAAAGCTTTCGCGGAACGGACATGAAGTTTTGCTCAAAATAGGATCCCAAATAGCCTTAAGACATTTTTGATCCCTGAACTTAGCTAATTCTTGCCTAACATGTGTTCATAACATTATTAAGTGAAAATCGAAATTAAAAATTTGATCTAATTAACATAATTCAACTATAATAATCAATCTTATGATTAAAATAAATACACAACAAGATATTAAATTTTGAAGATTATATGCATATTTTCTTGTTTTTCTAATTGTATGTTTTTCTTCTTTGAACAGTAATTGGAAGCTGGTTTCGAAAGGTTATTTCTTGATTCAACGATTTCACACTTTGTATGGAAATAATTTTTTGAAATCATGTGCTAAACAGGGTGCAGAGATTCTAAGAGTAACATTCAAGAGGAACCATGTAGCTTGGATAGATGAATGTTCGTTGTTTAAATTAAACGTTTGAGGACCAGAATGGAAATATGAGTACCGGATTTGCCATTGGGATAGAGAAAGTCTTGAGGCAAAGCCCAAGGCAGCCTCTTATTTCACATATGGGCTGATTGTTTTGATTTAAGTTGGGCTAAAGATGCCGTGTCTAGGGAAAAGAAACAGAGAGGCCTCTTAAAAGATTATTAAACCTTATTTAATTTGACTGGTCCACGAGACAAAGAAAATGTCAACTTGAAAAGTTGACGCGGTCAACTTATTCTAAAAATCTATTTATTTTTATATTTTAAAAGTAATTTAAAAAAATAATTTTTTTATTATTTATTTTTAATTAATATTTTTAAATTATTTTAATATACTGATGTTAAAAATATTTTTTTTAAATTATTTACATATATTTTAACACAAAAAATTATTTAAAAAGCAATAACAATCACATTTCTTTTATTTGAATAAGTGTGTATTAGATTTACTTTTCAAAAGTATTTTTTACTTTAAATTTTTTATATTAATATATTAAATTAAAAATATTTTTTATTATATTTTTTCAAGAAAAACACACTTTTAAAAATCATCTAAAAATAAAACCTACTATACTTTTAAATAAATTCTAAAACAAGATTATTTTAATTATCTCAATTTAATTCTTTTAACTTATAACTCAAGTTTTACACTAGCAGGTATAATTAGATTTGTTATTGCCCTTCTTTTATATATATAAAGATTTTGTTTCTTTCTTGACCCAGGTTTTAAATTGTGTAATGGAAGGTGTTCTGTGCCAGCCTATAAGAGCTCACTACTTTCCAATTTCCATGGATGTAAGCTTGAGAGCTTCAAAGAACAATTCAAAAATGTTGGGTTATATAGTATCTCTTTCAGAAATGAATTTCGGTTTGATTTAGGTAATTTTGAACGTTTTTTTCCATATGTCGGAGAGCTAAGTCCTAACGCCTGAGAGAGGGAGGGAGACTTTGACGGCTGAACCAAATTACTCGTCTGGAAGAGTGTATTTGTGGTGCGATGCATTTCAGGTTTTAATTTAGTGGTGGGAGTAATTTGTTTTTTTTTTTATTTAAATTTGAATTTTATTGTGTATACTTGTTGTTTTTGTGATACTTTATATATTTATTGAACTTACATGATATTTAGTGAATCATAAAATTAGTCATAGTGCATGTAAATTAATTCAGACATTCATATAAATAAAAAAAAAATTATTTTTGTGGTCTATACCGCTAATCATCTATGCAACTTCAATTAAGATAATATAAAGTGTTATTTTTTAAAATATTTTTTATTTAGAAATATATTAAAATAGTATATATATATATATATAATAAAATTTTATTTATAATATTGACATAGTTAATACAATAAAAAGATACTAAAATAAATAATTTAAAACAAGAATGCCAACTGCCATGCATGTTACGCCCTTGGCTTGCCTCGTTGTAAGAGTATCAATTTTTATAAAATATAATTTAAATAAATGAAGAAAAGGCTCTCCTAAATTCACACTTAAATATAAAAAAATTAGATAAGTTGTACGTGCTATGTTATGGCCTCCCTTTGAACACGTAAGATAAAATTTGTTAACCGTCTCTAATAAATGCGGATTGAAATTACAAAAAAGGTGCAAGAGTTATTAATATTTTTCTAGTTGTAAAAAATAAAAAACATACTTATTTCTATTTATTAAATATTAAAATAATAATATATTAAATTTAACCGAATGAATCTTAATTTATTAATTAAATACATAATTCAAATCATAAATTTAACTTAATTTGATTACATTATTTTATTGAAACTATATTTTATTTAATTACATGGTAATAAAACTAGATATTCACAAAAAAAAACTGAATAATTTTTTTTAAAAATAATTATTTATAAAAAAAAGTGTTTAAAGAAACAATTATAATCATATTAGAAAAAAAAACAAAGATTTTAATGTTATTTTTAAAAATAATACCTGAAATATATTTGGAATTAATTTAAGATATTAATAAAGCAATGTATATAGTTATATAATTTTATAATACATAAACTTAAAAGAAGAAAAATAAAGGCAAAACAAGTTCTAGCACGCGGGCTTCGGAGGCAAGACATGCATAGCCAATTGAAAATCAAGCCCGTCACTTGAGCCTAGCAACATATGCCCATGTGATTGGCCCTGATCTTTTTAATTATTATTATTATTTAAATGGGAGAATGACACGTCGTTTACAATGACAGACTTGTCACCTATATTTTCGTTGCTGACCACGTTTGGTGGTCGAGGGTCACGAAAAAGCACCTCCCTCTTTGAACTTAAAAACACAATTTGTAAGTATTTTTTATTTACCTATAAAATGTCAATCAACTTATATTTAATCTCAACGTTTAATTGGTTAAAAAACCCAAGATTTCTCCCAATTCAAAAAATATTCTTGATGCTCGACCCTCTTTCCTAGCAAAATAAAGAATACAAAATACCTCAATGAAAATTTCTTGATAAACTGTAACCCATTGATGCTTTGAATGTCATATTTTGGCCCCTGAAACATGATCAACGATAATTTTTTATCTTTTTATTGTAATTTGATAAAAAAAATTTAAAACTCAAAAATTAAAATATAAATGAATTAAATTTTGGATCAAAAAAATTTTTGAAAAAATTTTAAACCTCAAGGTGCTGAGATCACTTTTGTAAAAGGCTGCCATTTTACTAAGCTCTTAATGTTGATCCCCTTGATTTTAACTGATTTGTTTTTATTTTTATAAAATTTAAAATCAATCCAGATTACGATAACTTAAAAAAAAATACAAACTATGTCACTAATCAACATAATAAAAAAAAAGAATTAAAAAAAAACTCAATAGCTGAATTAATAAAAAAGAATTAAGGACCAAATAAGAAAAATATCATTTAACTATATTCAGGCTATTATTTCACTAACTTTCAATTTTGACCCTTTTATTTTTATTTTTACAAAAATTAACCAAACTAATTTTTTTTATATAAAATTAAGAATCAATTCATTAATACTGTGATATTTTTCCAATATTATGAAGAAACTGAAATAAATGATAAAATTTAATTTTAAATTAATTAATTATAAAAAGATAAAATTAAAATTAAAAAAATACGGTGTAAAGCAACAACGAATTCTCTAACAAGACATGGTCATTCACTTGATGGCTTCTTCTTCTTCTTCTCTCTAAAGTTCAATTTCCTTCTAGTGCATGCCAAGCTTGTCGGTAGATGTTGATCGCTGCTTCTTCAATCCCCTGGTTGGTAATGCTTTCCCATCCTAGAGTTTGGTATCGATGGGCAAGCATTATATATATATATATAATGCTAAAATCAACAAGTATTTTATAAAACCAACAATTGTTTTTGAGTCCGCCAGAAAAATAAATATTGATAAAAATAATCCTAAAACCATCCTGCACATTAATAGCAATAAAAGATTATGTTATAATCACTTTATCTACAATTTATCCTAGTCTTAAAAGAAGGCGTCCACTAATAATATGTTGGTCTAGGATATGATTTAAATTGAAATACTAAAAAAATTAATTTTTTTTATCAAAACAAGCATCATTTAAAAAAAAAAACTTTACCTGAGCAAGCTATGGAAAAACAATTGAAAAACAAAAAAGCAAGGTTTTGCTTACAGAAAACTTACAAGTGAAGAGGGCTCACATGAAGGAGAGAAGAATCAGGGATAGGAAGAGAAGGGAGGAGGTCAGGCGAAATAAAATGGGGTAACCCTTTACGTGTAGAAAGGAGGAGAGCAGGTGTTTCTATTTGAGGACAGTTGCCCAGCTGAAATACACCAGTCCTTGCAGCGGAATTGCCCTTGCTCGTGCTCCATGCTTTCACTGAGAACTTCATGCTCTCTTCCTCCCTCTCTTTTGCTTCTTTGCCGCTGGCTTCGCCTTTCGACAACAGGGCAAGCTCTTTTTTCAAAGCTTTCGCGGAACGGACATCAAGTTTTGTTCAAAATAGGAACCCAAATAGCCTTAAGCCCTTTTTTATCCCTGAACTTAGCTAATTCTTGCCTAACATGTGTTCATAACATTATTAAGTGAAAATCGAAATTAAAAATTTGATCTAATTACCATAATTAAACTATAATAATCAATCTTATGATTAAAAGAAATACACAATAAGATATTAAATTTTGAAGATTATATCCATATTTTCTTATTTTTCTAATTGTATGTTTTTCTTCTTTGAACAGTAATTGGAAGCTGGTTTCGAAAGGTTATTTCTTGACTCAATGATTTCACACTTTGTATGGTAATAATATTTTGAAATCATGTGCTAAAAAGAGTGCAGAGATTCTAAGAGTAACATTCAAGGGGAACCATGTAGCTTGGATAGATGAATGTTCTTTGTTTAAATTAAAAGTTTAAGGACCAGAATGGAAATGTGAGTACCGAATTTTCCATAGGGATAGAGAAAGTCTTTAGGCAAAGCCCAAGGCAGCCTCTTATGTCACATATGGGCAGATTGTTTTGATTTAAGTTGGGCTAAAGATGTCGTGTCTAGGGAAGAGAAACAGAGAGGCCTCTTAAAAGATTATTAAA